GCACGGTGACATCAGGAGGAATCTAACAGTCTGAACAATGCTGTCAATCACAGCTCTCAATCAGACACTGCATATAGTATATAATATATCATGTAAAATGCATATAGTTCATATTTAAGCATAATGCCTTTCATTGCACATCTTAAAAAGTGTCCAAAGGAGTTTTAGAAACTCAGTCTCTTCACTGCAAAACATAAGCATTCACTTTGCTGTAACAAGACAACTGTGGGATGTTGTTTTTTTCTCCAGTTAAACAATATGTGCCAAATAGAAAGAATGAATCAGCTAAATTCCATTATTTTAATTGAACTGGAAAAGTCATTTGCAGAACTGTGAGCGGTCGAAAACCAATGTATGAGATAAAATAAAAAAACAAAAGTCTTCAATATACTGTTCTGTACAAATATGCGTCACCACAGGTCACCCCTTCTTATCTCTTCCTTACAAGGCTTCTTCTTTTCTACAGAAGCCAGCAAAACCTCTCCTGAGGCAGAAGCTTAATTGGTTTAATCAAGAAATGAAATCCTCTCTGAGCTGACCAGCAACCTCCTGACATCATTCCCAGGCCTTCCTGACAGCCTGTTCATCTTGGCGTCTATAATTTGCAGACTAACAGTCGTGCAGCATGACCCACAGACGCGCTCAGAATCACACGTCACTTGATAGAAGAACTGTAGCCGTTTCTTTCAATCCAGTTTTTACTGGATTGCTGCACCAAAAGCTGGCCAAAGTGACAATAAAAACAACAAATGGAGCATGGGAAGTAATCTCCACTGGACTACAGTACACCGGTTTAAGAGATAGACAGGGGGGTGAAGATATGGTTTTGTTATTACTGATGTCATTTTGTGTCACTGAATGCCGGGACACATCCAAAGCACAGTCGACAAACGTGCCAATGACAGAGTCACAAGTTACAATTTCCCTGACTAAACTGTGTGATCAGTAAAAAAAGAATTAGCACAGGAACTCAATTTTGGGCCACTCATATTTGGGGATGCAATTCTTATGATAAAAACATTCCTGGGAAATGGAAGAGCAAATCTGTTTTCTCACATCATTTAGAAAAAATGAGGAATTTAGGCAGAGTGGTGGCTGTGAGCTGTTAAGAACTCCAAAAGCATACAAAGTAAAGCCACTGTTCTGAACAGCTGCATTCAAGTTGAAGTTTCCATTATTTTAATGGTGCAAAGCATGAAAAGGCAGAGCTGCCCTGACGTTTTTTGGAAGCAGTTATTATGCATTTTGCTGGCAATCCAAGAAGGCGCACGTTCTTTCCGAGCTGTTTCTAGCGCTAATGAGGAAAGCAGGGGTTTGTCTCCCACAAACAAGACCCCGCGCCTCCTCGATAGTCCATCAGTCTGTAATTCAATCCAACACTTTTCCTAGGGAACATTTTCTGTGCAGGGGGCAGGGGATCACAGGTTGTGGCAAGAGAAGCCAAGCTCGTATAGGAGCTCAATTAGAGTCTCAACTCCTTAGCTAGAAAGCAGCGGCTCTTTCTGAGCAGTGCACACAGCTGTTCATTGTTGTGGACAGAGTCTAAGAGCACACTGCCCCACACAATACCAGCTGTCACAGCAGCGGGGAACATTTCAGATGATCTGTCTGAAGGCTAAAGTGTTAAATTAACTCCAAGAGCACAGTTTAAGTGTGAGGGAAAATGGATTGAGGTTTTCCATTACTGCACTTGAATGAAAGAGTTATCTCCCCAAAGGAGCAATTAGACTATCCCACATTTGAGTCAAAACGTCTCCATTAATAGTGAAAGAACATAAGTGGCAATAGTTCATTGTAGACTAAAACCTACAGACTGACATCCACAAGAGGATCCTATTGGCCTTTATTTTCTTTCAATGGAAGGTGAGATAGGTTACTGCCCATCAGGGCTAAAGAGTACAGCATGGGAATGAATCATAATTTGGCTCTGTTGTAAAATTATTTTGTGTGGGAAAAGGAAAAAAAGCCTATGTTTCCTCATTCAAGCCTTGTTTTGTTTAGTACTACAGAAATACAGTGGTTTTGAGCTTAATGTGTTTAGATTAACACACATATTACAAAAAAGTGAAGAGCATCAGGTGTAGATATGTGAGACAATATAGCATTTCAAGGAAAATGCACAATATGGCACTAAAATGTAGTATACAGTCAGTAAGGTATAATTCCACTTGATTTTACAGTAGAAGATTTCGAAATTATTTGATCGTACAAGAGCAGAAAATCTAAATAACAATACACGTGAAGCACATCTGAATACAGGTTTAAAATATAATTAAACTCAATAGATTTGCCCACAATGATTCCATTCAACTATGAGTCCAATCAAACACTGCCAACGGCTTTTATTTCAATTGCAAATTTTGTAAATTCCAATTTTTTGGTGTTTCGCAACTACAAAGGATCACAAAGCCCTTGGCTGCATAGCATAAATGACTCAACTTGCTGAGTTGTTATGTGTACCTGTTTTAACATACGTACGAAGATGTTTTTATTACACAGACATTCATTTTATTTGTGTTCCTGTGTACATGGTCCAGTAATATAAAAGTGCTCATTGTAGACAGTAGTAAAGGCAGAAGATCTAGAAAGAGAGACGCAAAATGCCAGCTTTGAACAAGAATACAAAGCTGGCATCCACATACTCTTTTATATTGAACAAATCAAAGGAAAGGTTGTTCTCATTCTGCAAAAACTCACAGCACTTCAATACAGAATCCTAAATTTTGTTCCCTTCAAGAAACACTACACATCATGGTCCCTTACAGCATTTTAATATTGGAGCTGTGTTTTTTTTGTGTTATATTCCTTTCTAGGGAAAAAAAAAACCTTCAGGCTGTTGTTTCTGACACAGATTCAACTTATTTGTTTGATTTTGATTCCTGCTTTACTCCATTTCAAGATCAATGCTTTGTTAAAGAACAGACTGTGAAAAGAGTTCCATCAGGTACGCAGTTCCAGAGCCTCACAAGAGTGAGCCCTGGTTAGAGTGGTCATGTAATGCTCTGCTTTCCTCTGCAGTAGATGGCCAAGTATGTAAAGAGCATTTATTCATAGTGGAACCACACATGACACTGGCCAAATAAGAATGGAGTTGATACTCTGTGGTGAAACTCTGGTATTGCAGCTCATTCATTCTTCCAAATCTTTTTATTAGGAGTCATCGTACAGTACTCCTTACAGTACTTTGCTGTCTTATAAAAAACACGTTTGGCGTTACAATGCATTAACCCCAACTACATCAATGTAATTTATTCTAGTTAGTTATGTCTTGCCAGAATTTGTGATATGTAAAATAACAAGTTGCCAAAGGGCTACTTAAGGTACAGTCTGTAACCCTATTCATTAGGATTTTATAGGGCTGATGAGGCACCTCAGGGGCAGAAGAGGTTAATGCCCAAGTCACCATTTCCTGATAGCAAAACTGCATTTCAAGCCACCCTTCTGAGAGAAAAAAAGACAGGATTATGAAAGCAAACAGTAATCACTATTCCAAACCACTTAAAATGTTAATCTCTTCAGAGATTCATACTGATGGATAAATGCTCAGTAGCTGTAACACCCACATGGAGAGCTAAAAAAGTATATTTCCTCCAAAAGAAAAAATAAATAGGCATGCCATGCACTTTTGGAAAACAAACCATCTCTGTTGGATTTTCTTTTTACACCATGCACCATATTCAAAACTCTGTGCCATGCATGGTGCACTGCACATACGCTGAATGTAAGTCCACATGCCTTTGTTTCTCATTTGAACATGCTGTGAAGGTTAGATAACCAGCTGCTATCTTAGCTTGTCTGAGAGAATTTTGCATGCAACAGCTGTGCTATGCTCCCCTTACAAAATCTATCTTAACCAGGATTTAAGTGCTGATTTGCACAGTTTAACAAAACTGCTGGCGCTCTCCTCACACTGTAACACTACAGAAGGCCAGAGGTTTAAACCATTCCAGACCTGGAGATTGTATCACTGCACTCTGCCTAAATAATCTCATTAAAGCCCAGGATTGATTCAAACTGCTATTGTAAGAGAGTCTTCTTTCTGTGCCCGTTGAGTTAAAGAGGGGATTCTCTCGCATTCTGGAGCGCTCTCAGTGTTTATCTAGTCCTGCCAAACAGAAGACGAAAGGTTTACCATATTCGCCTGAGTGAGAAAAGAAAAGGCTTTCCACTAACATGTAACCACTGTTCTGTATCACATTACCGCTCTGCAGAAAGAAGCAAGCAGCTACAAAACGCAGAATGATGTGAAGGATAAAAGCAGAGAATTAAGGGTCATAATCCATAACATTAAGAGCCTACAGGACAGAGAACTGAAGGGTGCCTTGATCCAGATTAAAAAATGCTGAATCACAATGAAAAATGACTTTTTCTCTATTCACTGGGATGGTTTGATTGGCAAGGAATGAGGAATTGACCAAATTACAAGGTTTTAAACTCAGGCAGCGACAGAAACAGAAGGTCAGGCCCATGACAAGATTCTTCCAACGTACCAAAGGAACGTTCACATAGAGCTGGTCAGGACAAAACAGGATGTTTTTTTACAACTTTAAATACAAGTTCACTCCTTCCAGTTAAAGTCACAGAAAACCACAAATATGAGTAGAAAGTACTACTACCTGCTACTGAGACTATCATATTTCCTGAGCAGGAGCACAGACCTAAATTACATAATGAGACGTTCTTTGTACAGTTATCACCACGCACCTCCATAATTAAAAAACGCCTCAGCCGTTATATCATTTTCGGGACTTTCCGCACATCCGAACCAGACATGACTATGATTGCACTTGCTTATTACTCTTATACGAACCTACAGTTTTGTTTTGATCACTTTAATAGAATAGATTACAGCCCATTCTGTCCTGGAATCACTCCGTGTCACTGAAAGGTTGCAGGTACCGCCAATACTGTCGATACTGGACTTCGGCAATGCAGCCGATGTCACAAAACAGCGGTCTGCGTCGCTCAGGCACTGCGATGGCCTTCAGAACGACTCTTACCTCCCAGGTTCCTTCCTGTTGTCCAGACTGTCTGCCCGGCCTTTGGCTGGGGTCTCTCTTCCCGTGCTGTCCCCGTCCTGTGGCGGCGGCACCAGATAGGCCCCCTGCAGGGGTGTCTGGCGGCCCTCGCTCCCGCCGCCGCCCCCCCGCGGCCTGCCGTGCCCCCTGCGTTCCGACTCCGAGCTGCGCTTCATGGCCTGCAGCTGGGCCAGGGGCACGATGTCGCAGCTCTGGGGCCTGTGCCACACCGTCTGCTGGGTGGCGGAGTTGTAGTAGTAGAAGCGGTTGTTGTTGCCGTCGAAGAGCTCCCACCACTGGCGGCCGTCGCACTGGCGCACCTCGACGCTCGGGGGGGGCTCCCAGCCGCACTCCCCCGTCACCAGGTTGACATACATGCGCTCCCGGGAGCGGGGCTCAAGGATCTCCACCCAGTCAGAGCTGCGGGCAAACACAGAGGTGCCGGGGGTCAAGAGGAGAACACAAGTGGCAGGGAGTGCACGATACCGATGACATTATATCCCACTACACCACCGACCCCATGAATTCACACTGAATACCAACGCAGTTGCCTGTCTTGCAGTGAAAAGGAAGAAACACAAAATTAAGACTCCATTTTGGTTAGGCTGGTAACCAAATGATAACACCGAAGCACATAATGACCCTCATTTCATATCAGCTTCTGAAAAAGATGTTGTGGCTATACACCTGAACAGCGTTCAAAGAGTGTGGCCCAGCGGAAAAGATGTATAATGTAAGAAATGAGCCCAGCTGTAAATATTTACTTGGTAATAGTGCTTAATCTGTAGTGTAACTATGAAAGGTGTGTCACCTTCAGATGCGGAAATCTCTGGCAGAAACCGAGATGAGAGGGAGTGTGACAGAGGCGTGTGAGGATTAATATGGGGATTACCCAAGAGAAAATGGTAAAGACCCATTCAGGAAACACATTCCACTGAGTGACAGAAACACAAACTATTACACTTTACATCTCCTTTACAGGAATACATTTCAGTAATGAAGCTCTCTACCCAACAAGCAGATTCAGCACACAGTACAGTTAGCAGCTCTCCAAAGATGCCAGTGCTTTAAGCCCTTCTTGTTAAGAGGAAAAAACAAACAATGACACAGATTAAGTGCCTTCGAATGGTCCAGATGGCTAAGTGTTCCAATGGGGTTCCAAATAATGAGGGTGAATAAAGCTTAGAACACAACATCAGCTTACAAATCCCAACAGCAACACTGGTCATCGTGGCTTTTGCAAAGCAAATCAGTTTTTAAAATTGAAATTAATTTGAACATTAATGAAAAATGTGTTATTTTTTGCATCAATGTATCAAGGAGTCAGCAGATCCTTGATATTATTTCTTGTGCTCCCTAACGAACACAGCTAGTCAAGTGTTCAACGTAACCAATTAATATTTTTAATTTCAATCTTTCATTTGAATAAAACTATGTTTTTCAACTTTCAAAGTCTTTAAAACAAATTTAATTTGATCTTGCAGGGACCACAATAATGGCCAAGAAATGTCTCAAGTAACAGAGGCAAACAGCAGGTTCACAACCATTATTTTAAAAGTAATTTTGCATTTTCTGTATGAAATAGAACAATCACAACAATTCTACATAATAAAAACTTTTTCAAAAAGCAAAACAGTGTAAAGAGAAAAGCTGTGAAATAACCAGGTCGACTATGTTTTCTTTATTTTCATGCAGGAAACCTTTCTGATTATAAAAATAATTTAAGATGCATGAAAGAATGCAGGCTTGAATAAAAATAATTCTCCTCTGTGCACTAAAGTGGATTAAGAAAACAAAAATGTCCTATTTGCCAAGACATGTTTGGAAATTTGTAAGCCTTCAACGGGGTACCGCAATCCCATATTAACCTACGTTTGAACCTGGATGGAGTTCTGATCCTTGATATCCTACAAATACAATAAAATCAGAACTATCCAAGATGCATTAGGTTACTACTCCATGTGAGAGTACAGTGGTTTCATAGATGACTATACAAATACAAATACAAATGAATACAAATGAATACAAAACCAAATGAAACTCCCCAAAATCAAACAGAAACACATAAAACACTGTAGGTGTATTTATCTGACTTCAGCTGTAAATGCGAATCCTAATGTGTATGAACTTTCTGTGAATCACATGCAGACACTGGCAGGCCAAAACTACTTGCAGCAAAGAGATCTGTTCATTGCTCTATGTTGTGCTAGGATCAGGTCGTACTCCTTCCACTGCCCCCTTCTCCTGATCTCAATTAGAAATGAGAGGATCTTCCCATCTAATTAACCACTCCCTTGCCTCTGTAAAAGGACGCAATCATATGAACCTAATAGCCGATGAGATAACAGACAGGGTGTGTATTCAAGGTCTTGGACAGCGTACAATGATGCTAGCCAAGCAGTTTTCCGATTATTTTCAAGAGACTTGATTTCCAGCTGACTGGACTGGAAACCACCTTCCCAATCAAAATCTCTGCAGCTGATTCCATGAAAAACATCTTAAAAGGTGGGAGAGCCTAGAAGTTAGTGCGGTTTCTTCCTGAATTCCTTGATGTAACCGCCATCATTCTCTGAGCAGATCATGAGACAGTCCCAGGGTGCAGGTTCCAATCAGGCTGACTTGAAGCCTAAGCTTGGGGTTAGTAAACTTATTTTGTTTGCCTCCTAATGTATAAGTATATATTACTGTACATATACTTGATTTTGTATATTAGTGTATAACTGACTGAAAGCTGTAGCACTGTACCACTTTTCTTGAATTGATAAATTTACATGTGTTTTCTGATTCCATACACAAATGAATTTGGAACTACTACACAGGAAGAGTGAGGACAAGCGCACATGCTCCAGAGACACTTGACACACTGTGAGCTCTACAGGGCCTTACTGCAGAGTTAGCACTGATTGGAGGAGAAGCAGGTCTCATCACAAGCTTGCAGGCACCTGGCAAGCCTTTTGCACGGCAAGCAGGGGATTTCAGGGTTGACTCAGATCTGTCGGCATTCAGCCAATGACGACATGTTTCAAGTGTTCAGTAGAGCTCATGCCTACTTCCTTCTAAGAAAATGCTATATGACCTCATCTCCCAGTACTAGGCTCTACTAAACAGGGTAATGGCTAACAATTTTCCACTAACAAGCTTAAAAAACCACACAGTAAAAATGCCTTTAATAATTTGACATAAATGCCCTTATAAATAGGGATATTTGCCAAACTGAATACATTGGAATACAAACTAAACGACTGCTTTAGCCTTAACTGAAGAAAGATGGTTTTGGAAAAGCATATCACAAATTATCAATCAGTTTTGAACTGATTGAACAAATGCAAGTTTCTTTCAACACTATGAAAACGTTTTCATTCACACTTTAGAATTCAAATGCAAAACGCAAAACACAACAACATCTCTCTGCAGTTTATGTGTTCTGAGAGCTGAGACAGCCTGTACTGTAGGGTGAAATGGCTCTGATTTAAACCCTGAGGAGTATATCATAACAACCTGCCACTCGGGAGGGAACCACCCAGGACTTTATTGCAGCAGGATGGCACTACAACACAAGTATGTGCTGTCTAGAAATATTAACAGCACTCAGCAGGCGGCTTCATGTTCAGAGAGATGTTTCATCACAGGTACTGAGCGCTAGCCCTCGTGTCTTCTGCAGTAACCCCAAAACTCCTATCTGCCAAGCTGCTCTTCCCCCTCAACAAATCCCATAAGCAGCAGAGAAGAGAACAAGAAAGTAAGCCATTTCTCTGCTCAGCCAGTGAATCCCATCACTCCCAGCCACAAAGCAATTAGAGGAATCCTTTACAAATTCTTTTTTAATCTGCCATTTTTATATTTCCTTGTAACACAATACGGTTTTCATGTGCAATTTCCCACATATCCACAGACGTTTTTAAAACGGTTACCACTGTCATGTGGTGGTAAGGACATCCCGAACTGCACTGCAACTGCACGAAATGTACATGATAAAGTAATGCACTTTAAAAATGTTCAAAGCGACAATTAGGAAAATATGCAACAAGAAATAGTGAACAGCCAATGTGAAAAACAGTAGAGCAAACCAGTTCAGTGGGTATGTTCAAGTACTCTGTATCACATTACTGTGTTTTCAGTTTAAACAACGTGAATACTTTTGTAAATGCTTTCCTGTTTCACTACACAATCAAGTCATACTGCACCCTATAATGTATTCAATAATAAATTAATAATAATAAAGAATAATAATGCACTTAAAATAATGTATTGAAGTCCCAATATGTGTGTCTCTCTGTGTTACCACTGGTCATGTGAGAGTACTTCACTGTCCGTTTGTCTGACATCATAGTTATAATATGTGGTTTCACTTTGTTCACTCCTACTGATACAGTCACCAACAATAACTACGTAAAATTCCAGAATAAAGGACTTCAGACTGCAATATAATTTCATGACAAATACAGGCAGTACTTAGCTACTGTACTTCCAAGAAGTTGTCACTGGGCGATACACTGAGGCACACCTGGACAGAGAGATCACTATAGCAACAGGCAAGTCAGACAGTATGTACTAGAAACATTTTCCTTCTCAAACCGCAAAAGCCACACCAGGTGGTCAAAGCATCAAATAAAAAGGAGAGGTGTGTAATCTATACCATCCCCTTAAAATCCGGCATCAATTTTAATCAGCTCCAAACTGATTTTAATGTGCTCTTAAGGCACAGATTAATAAATAAATATATTTAACTGAAGCTTTTTGTTTTCTTAAATGGATGAACTACCCAAACACACACACATTCCAGTTTTGGTGTAGTGTTCTTGACCTCTTTCTAGCTGTTCAAGCCAAGAATTTGCGAGTGCCACAATTCAACAAGACAACCGAAGAGCCCGTCAAAGTCATTTAAACATGTCAAGACATGCTTCAGCAGTAACTGAGACTACACAGCACATCAAGAGCAAATTCTCTGATTTGTTCAGAATGTTAGAAATAAATGTACAAGCGTAAAAATGGCATAAGAGAATAATAAATGCTGCTTGTAAAGAGGTTGAAGACGTCAGCGTGCTGTAAACACACTAATTAGAGAGAATGCTGTGATACTGAGAATATGCTGAGCAGCCAAAATTTTAACGCAAGCTATATTTTATGAATCCCCAGGGAGAAAATGTCTACACTGCTCCTGACTTGTATACGAGGTTGGAATCATGCAAACAGTCACTCATGAGAGTTCACGCAGTTTTAAATTGTTCGTCTAAGACAGGGAACAATTCCAGATGTGTAGCAACTGTGAACATTTTCTTTGTTTCTGTGCGTTTAAAAATGAGTGCATTAGTATGACTTCAGAGACACAGAGGATCACACTAACGCCGGTATATCCAGAACCTGGCTATCAATTTGATCTGCCTCTCTATAAAATGTCTAGGCCCCTAAGGTGGATGGAA